GACTGCAAAGACACAGGACAGTGGCGTAGCGCTAGCGCGCAGGGGGGCTGGGGTTTTCCCCACACCCTCCAAACGCCGTGCAAGCAAGCAAGCAAGCAAGCAAGAGAGAGAGAGAGAGAGAGAGCAGAGCCATTTTGGCTCAAGGCTCAAGGCATTTCGCTTAAGTGGCCCGTGTCGTCTTTTTGCGCCCTCTGAACCCGACCGCGGCCCCCTCTCTCGGGATGGGTGGCCCGCCAGTAGGGGGACGAGGCATACTTTCACCTTGAGGAACCCAGGGGGATCTTGCAGAACTACCGGTACTTTGTCCTCGAGAATGGCGAGCAGTTCGAAGGAAGGCCCCTGGAAAGCCACCGAGAGATCCCACGACGAAGGCGGCAAAGACCAGCACTACGTGGGGGGACCGATGCCGCCTTGCGGAGAGACTGCGAGCTTTAGGCATTACTTGCCGAGCGTGCTCGGATGGCCCGTTCTACCACGGGGGGAAGGGTGCAAGCATCAGGTCCGACCTTGCGACCTACGCAAGAACTTGGAAGGGGACGGCACCCAGAAGGCAGTGGCCAAACAAGCCGAGGCCACACAAGTTGATGGTGGGAGAAGAGTGGGAAGCCTACTTTTTTCTGAGTATGTCAGATTCGAAACAGAACAGGGGGAAGTACTACTATATGAGCCCAGTGCCTTGGACAGGTGGATTGGCATGAGCATACGCCAAGACAGAACCACCGGGGAGTACATCAACAACGTCACGGGGTGGCCCTGAACGAGGGGGACGCAGACGAGTACAAGAGATATATCCAACGACACTGCACGTCGCGCGGATAAACTCTTGGCCCTGGTGGGGGAGAAAAATCCCAGCGTTTTAGCCGAGCTCCGGTTCTACATAGCCGAGCACCCTTGGAAGGTAGCTGAGTTGCTGAGTACGGCGAGGAGAGACTACCAATAGACTGACGAGGGGGATGCGAAAGCCAACCAGAAGGCCCAGCAAAGGGGGGAGGCCAAGCGAAAGCGAGACGTCGATGCTGAAGTTGAGAGCGGATAATCTGTGCAAGTCCTTTGTGTGATTTTCGGTGTGAATTATTTAAATAGCAAGCACTCCTTGCTTCTCAGGTAAACCTCGCTCCTATGCCCGAACTGGCCACAAATACCCGCTTCTTTTCAACACACCGCTCCGAGCCTCGATCAACCATTGCGGTGAATTCGGGGGATTTGCCAAGGCCGCAATTAACTACGTACCCTACAGTGCCAATCCATGATGAACCTGCTCGAAGCGGCGGGCGAAACGCACGTTTTTGCCTGGCAACCCTAGTCCTGTCTGCTTCTCCAGCCGATGCCCAAAGCCCCACATTAGGTCTTTACTTCTGTACTTCCCTGTCACCTCAGCCGGGGGAAGCCTCTGGACAAACAACAAACCACAGTATGCGAAAAACTAGTAACTAGTCAAAGTGCCGTAGGGGGTAGTCCTGTGATGATTGCAAGCTGTCTTTGACCACGTCCTCGGACCATATCCTGTGATACTTGTGTTGCTTTATTTCGCCCCTCGGCACTTCACTTTAGACTTGTAATGCTTCTTGGGGGGTGCTTATTCATAGCTTGTGCCTTTCGCTGCATACCTCTGGTCGGTATTCAACAATTGCGCTGTCATGCTTGTCTGCTTACACCTTTCTAAGGCCCTTGAGCTGCTTTAGGTCCGAACTCCAACCGGGGGAACAGAGAGCGATAGTTCATCTGTCCGAGATATGCACCATCATACCAACCACCCAACGTTCTGGGGGACAAGATACTTGTACCATTACGTCAGTCAGCCCTCTGAGAGTGCCACATGGTGGCCAGAGCCTCAGTTTACTGCAACAGTGCATGTAGTCCTTTGGGGGTACATGCAAGCCTTTTGCTGTGCTGTGAAGTTGAAAAGTGGTAAGCTGCAGCTTTGAGATGCGTGCAGAAGGGGGAGTCTCGTGTTGTGAGCTGGCCTTTACTTGCACAACTTTTCCTGTTGGGGGACTCCACTTTCCGGCCTTTGCACAGCTGAGCCCCTCGAAGGCAACCTTCTTCGGGGATGCTTAAAACCCCGCCGAGATTTGCGGGTGCGCGTTCGCGCGCGGACGGGGGGGGTCTCGTGCCTTCCTTTTCCTGCCCCTGTAGAGAGAGAGAGCAGTCTTTCCGCCGGTTCCTCAGAGTGCTGTTTGCGAACTGTGGCCCCAGAGAGAGTTGCTTTATATTGCAGGTTGTTTTTTGGCTAATCAAGCTGGGGGAACAGTAGCGTGGGGGAAAGGGACAGAGTGCTAGGAACAAACCAATGGTGTCCTTGCTGCTTGCATGTGTCCTGACGATAATGAGCTGATGTCCCAGCTAAGGTCTATGTCAGTTGGGCTCGTTATGGAAACATCTGTATGTCGTGCAAACCTAGCGCGGACATGAAAAGCCATCATTCACTTTTCCACGCCTTCAAAAAGACCCCCAAAACTGGGGGCCTTTAAAGGCCAAGGGGTCTGACCAGCCCCCAGATTCACTGTTGCTTTCGAAACATGTTCGCCTTAGCTTCCGATGCTGAAGGGCATGGGCTCCGAACTCGGACGGTTTGTTCTTGTTAGAATCTTTTCTTGTTCTCATGTTGTCTCCTTTTGTCTGCCCCAGCCTTGGAGGGTGAGTGTAGTGGCTTGCTGGTACCCGCAACAGGCGGGGGCGCACGAACGCGCGGGAAGTGTCCCCAGCCCTGGCGAAAGAAAGAGTAACAACAGCAGCAGCAGTAGCAGGAGTAGTAGCAGTAGTAGTAGTGGCAGCAGCAGCAGCAGCAGCAGCAGCAGTGGCCACGGCGGCGGAGGAGGAGTAGTAGTGGTTATGCAGCAGGAGCAATGATGTTCCGTAGCAGCGTTGTCGGGTTTGATTGTTTGAGTTTGGTTCTCTTCGCATCTCCGGCGCCAGATGTGGCCGGATGGCACGGAGTATGTCGGGCAGTGGCGCGAGGGCCGTGCCAGCGGCGTCGGGTGCATCAAGCAGCCAGGTTGCACATGGCTGCTCCAAGCTGCCCTTAACATTTGTTTCAGGGTATCAGGTGAAGTTGTCCATGCAGAAATTGGAATTGACTACGCTGTTTGATCCGGGAGCCTACGCGCTTTGGACCTGCTGGAGTACATTTACCTTCGAGCCTTTGCGAAGTTGGCTTATTCTGCAGTCTGTTCGAGAAGCTGGAGTTGACATCCGCACTCGGTGTTATGTCAACATCATGGCCAGGTGCTTCGGTCCACTCTAGGCATCTCTAGGCCTCTAGGCCTAAACAACTTGCCTGCGGAGCCTTCAGTTGCGCAACGAGAGTTAGTTCAGAGCAGTCTTCACGCACAGAGGCCCGGTGAATCGAAAACAGTTCACCTTGCAGGCAACATGGGGGAGCTTTGCTTGTGAACATTTGAATTGACGTAGCTGGCATTAGCATAAGATCCCGATTTGTTTGCAAACCCTTATGTCTACAAAGGCACAGTGACGGCGACTGCTACACTGGCCAATGGGTCAACGGCCGTGCTCATGGCTTGGGGGTGTATCGTTTCCAGGCTGCGGGGACTTTGGGGGCGTCGACCCTCATGTGTTAGAAGCACGGGATCGTAGTGTATCGGTGAGCCTACTGCCGCTGCAACATGGCTGAAACCTGCAAATCTGCGGTGTCCATGCGCGAACCGGTGCAACCAATTGAGCTAGGATGGTGCGGCCAGCTACGAAGGCGGGTTCGGCCAGGACGAAAGTCTCAGGGTCTAAGCTGGGTGCGCTGTTTCCTTCTTAGCCTCCAGTTTTTTTTATGAGTGCACCATCCTTTGTTCGAAGGCCAATTTCGCTGCGACCACCGTGACGGATTGGGAGTAGAGCGATGGGTGGATGGCTCCTGCATCATGGCTGCACAGGGTGCGTCTTCTAAGAGGAGGGCAGCCTGTTTCCAGTCTTGACTCAGCCTGTCCAACACCTCTCTTCAGGCTACGCTGGCGGCTTCCTGCAGGGTAGAAAAAGCGGCTTCTTTGTTGCATGGCACGGGGCATTGGCTTGTGCATTCGCGGATGTTGCCGAATAGACATCCAGCGGCTGCGTCGGATGCTGGGTTGGATTTCTCTCATGGGCGCTATGATGCAAGTGGCTGGCATGGTCTTTGTCACAACAGGTGAGTGAACAAACACCAATAGCATCGAGTCTTGGAGAGCTCTTCCGCCAGGTTTCGGGTCCAACAAGTGGCCAGACGGAACCGTTGCTGGGCTAACGATTGGAAAGGGACTTATCCTGTGTCTTTCGGCTACGGCATCTGGCAACTCTCAAAGCCTTTTGTCGCGAACCGGTGAAGACTGTTGTTTGTTTTTTCCTGGCACCACATATTTGATGCTACACTTCTGTGACCCTGAGGTATACCACGGCAGCTGGCGCGAAAACTCGCCGTCGGGCCCTGGAGAGTATACTCTCAGTGGAGGCCCAGCACGTGCACCGCATGTTCGCACTGTTCGGTATCACGTAAGAGCTGCGGATCAGGGCTTGTCGAATTCACTGTCCATGGTTGATCGTCGAGCCGGATGGGCATCCAGAAGTTGCGTGGTTCAAGTTCCAGGTCCCAGCTTCCGTGGCCAGTGGGAAAACTCCATGCCACATGGTGTTGGTGTCTACCAGTGGCCGGACGGAAGAACGTGACTTCGATGGCAAGTTGACATTCAGCACATGTGTACGCACAGAAATATACATGCCACGCTGTACCCCAGAAGCCCACCCATGTGGTCCCAAGTTTAGTCACAATTCTGCCACATGCCGAAAGACATGCTCACTGTCAATGTTTGCAGTGAGCGAAAGAATGCCCGTAAGATACGCTAGCCGCAAGGGCCGCATGTAGGCTTGGTAAGCATTTCGAGTCAGCAAGCTGTTCATGCCAGTGAAGTGTTACTACGCATGATGCTGTTAGGACTTGGGTCGATGGAATTTACGTTTCATACCTGTTGACTCTGTTGAAGGAACATGTTATCCCATGCGTGCTTGAAGCGCATGTAGGTAAGTGAACGAAGGTGACGAGAGACTCGCTAGGTGCAATCAGCAAAGACGGTGCAGTCAATGCCGGTGCGGGTACCAATTCCGGAACAAAGACTGCTGCACATGCTAGCACACGTCACGTGTGTTTCGCGTGAGCATAACAAAGACGGGGAAGGCAAGGGCAATCCATGTGCAACAGCAGCAATAACATGTCAGGCTGTATGCAAGAATGCTGCACATCAACTTGTGATATCCGTTTGTGTGACAGGCACCATGACCGCCAGTACTGTCGTGCTATTTTATTCTGCCAAAGCAGGATAAGTGCAACTAGTCACATGGGGCGTAGGGCGTAGGATTGCAAAATCCTTTCACTGATTGTCACATGCCTCGTAGATGATCTCACTTCATCCGGGTGCAAGAGTTCGTCTGAGTCTAGTACAGTCTACGACAGAGACAATCTGTGGGGAAATCCTCCACTATCAGATTTCATGGCAAGGGTTGGTTCACTTGCATGTTTTTGGCCAGTTGTTTGCGCGATGTGTTTGATAGCCAGTGTGCATGCCCCCCCGGGTTGCTTGCAAACATGCGCCTGATGGCGTCGTTCCACATCTGCGGTTTTGGCGTTCCTTCTTTCTTAAATTGAAATGCGTGGCGCTTCAAGGTACGCAGGTGGATACCACTTCGACAAGAAGGCCGATGAGAGTCTTCCGAAATGGAGGTGTGCTAGTACAACGCATTTTTCCAAGGGAGGCTAAGATTTCAATGCTGCAGATTGCCGAGACGGTTGTCAATGCTAAACGGCATATTCAGTATTGAGACGTGCCGGGTGTTCCGCTGCAATGTGCTCGATACTACCAAGTCAAAAGCCCCTAGGTTTGCAACAGCCTTGCAACAGCCAACTCGAATCCCAGGCTCCTGCACTCAGAGGCGTACATGTCGACCCACAGAAATGGCATCGATGTGCATCGAATCTTCACCGAGGAGGGCTTCGGTGTCTTCACCGATGCTGACGGCAGTGTGCGTCAGGGCTACTGGAGCAATGGTGAGCTGGTGGAGTAGCCCATGCAGGGTGACCGAGTGCTGGAAAAGGGGTGATAATCGGGGTTGGTCGCTACACCACAACCCTTTTTGCAAAGTTGCCTTAACCCCAAGATCAGGGCTTTGATAGATCGGCCAACAGAGCAGTCAGCGAGGGCAGCCAGTGCAGTCATGGCATCATTGGCCGTTGTTACTGCTCGGATGTTTTTGTGTTGTCATGTGCGATTTATCATACTTCTAGTATCTTCGGGCTTCAACACGCGCATGTACACTCAAGCCTTTCGTATGGAGCCTTGCCTGCCTGGTGCGAGAGTGAGAGTCAAAAGCCTGGTTGACATGGTTGGAACGACCTCCGAAGGAGTCGTTCCACGTTTCCGTCGTGTACATATCCGGCCCAACATCAAGAGCTGATGCCCTGGCAGCTAGTATTCTACAAGACATGGGAACGGCGCTGGCAGGAGGCTGCACCCTACCTGAACTTGCCCTGGACCATTGCGTGTGCTTTCTACGACATGGTGCTTGTAAGGTGAAGCAAAGAAGCGTCTAGATGATCTTGAAATCCTGGAATCAGGCCCAATAGAGTCTTTACAAGGAGCATCTCAGTACTCATGTCTGGCGTGTAGAAGCCAACGGGACACTGCCTTGCCGTCGTGCTGGTGTAGATGTGTATATTCCACGCATTGGGGACGGATCAGACTTCCAGTGCCAGTCGTTGCTCCGACAAGGTGTTCGATTTGACATGATGTAGGAAGCTTGTTCAGGTTTTCGGCACAGTAATCACATTCGATTGCAAAATTGCAAGTGTCTTGATGGTAGGTCTCGTCTCCGAGGGTGGAATACGCTCCGGCGCGAAAGTCTTGCTGAGCATTGAATCAGACTTCCTCACACAGTATAAGCCAGTTGGTGTTGCTTGACTTGGTGTCTGCGCTGATCCCCTGCGTGCAGCGTGTCAACTCGTCAAAGCGACACGCGATGGCACTCAAAAGGTCCAGGCTTCAATGTCCCTCCGTCACTGGCATGCTGTAACTGGTCCTGCACCCTTCTTAGCATGCCGGGCCTTGTCGCCACCACGCACCAGGGCAAGGGATTGCCACGTGTGCACCACGGAGGGAGCATTCCAACATACAGGAACTGTGTCAGAGCTTTGCTGCCAACAAGCCTTCGCTACAGACAAGTCGCCGCTCGCGGCTCAACCGTAGAACTTTCAGCCCAGAAGATTTAGATCTAGACATCAAGGACGGCTCATTGCCAGTGAGTGTTCGGAAACGCTTTCTGTGCGGATGAAGGGCGGCAGCCCAGGCCCTTGGCTCTGTTGGCTGAGTTTTGGCTTCGCCTCAGTGGCCGATTGGCCGACGTACCTGGAAGGACCTGGAAACCAGATCCCCTCCTACTTCAACTTCGATTGCGTGGGTCTGACCCAGACCTTCCAGTGGGATCTTCTTCATTTGAGTTGGGAGAATCAGGACAATGGAACGCTTGTTTGGTGGCAGTTTGAGGATGCTTGGAGAATGCAGGGTCGCGTCGGAGCGGAACGAGTTTTGTGGGAGGCTGAAACAGAGTGCCCGATTGGAGTCTTGCACCTGCTTTTGCTGGAAACCATGTCCTTGATGGACATGCATGAGGAAGCGGCTGGGAGAGTGGAGTCAGTGGAGCTTCCTAGTGGGGAGTATCTGGAGGCTCTTTACGGCCCGGATAGCTTCGATCAATCTCCAGTGGATGCTGCACAACTCTGTTTCCTGAGAAACTTGCTGGCAAAACTATGTTTAGCAGAGGTTCCCGACTGCTCCCTCCAGCATGTTGGTAGACGGTAGACGTGCTCATGCAGACTCATGCAGCATGCGGGGGACTGAAGTAGGAGACGAGGTCCTGGTCCTTTTCGCCTGACTTCGGACTCGTGGGTCCCTGTTCGATTTGCCAATGTCCATGAGCCCGGCACGGCAGTGCAAAGAAACTATCTCTATCCACTGGGAGTATGGGAGCTCGTGGAGAAAGGGGGAGAAGATAGGGTGCGTTCCGCTTATCTGTGAGAGGGGATGCAAGGCTGCTCTTTCCGACCTGACATGCTTCGCAGGGAGCAGTCGAGAGTCTAGAGCCCAGCCTTAAGCTCCATCCCGGATTGAGGAGAGCACTTTCAAGATCTTCTTGGCCGCGTCTCCTGGTACTTAGTGGCTTTGAGTCGCTGGCAGGTGTTCGAGGCCCTGTGAGACCCAACACGCGCATAAGGGCCTTCTAATTCGGAGCAAGGTACTGGAGGCTCAATCGGGCTTGACGAGATTTTGCGAAGTTTACCCAGATACGTTAATACAGGCTCTTCAGTTTGTCAAAGTTGGAGAAGGCTCGTGAACATGCCACGCCGGAACCACCATGCAATGTTCAGGTGATGTACAGACACTTCGCCCTCCTCGTGTCCAGGTCGGGTATGCTCAGAGGGACACTGTGTGCAAACCGGTTTGCTGAGTTTCCAGGGTGTGCCCGTGAGCATGGACGTTTGCGTGCGATTTGGCTGGCCTAGCTTTCCATGACTGGGCGAGCATCCTACCCGTTTTCGGTGGGCGCGCCCCTTCACGAGGTGGAAAACTGACGCTGAGATAAGAAAACTCTCCAGCTACAGAAAGCCAAACGTTCAACCAGTCAAAAGGTCAACTCTGCGGCAACCATGCTGTCGCCCACTACGTGCTTCTTTTCAAGTCCTTGGAGTATACTGGTCCTCGCCCCAATCGAGCGGTCTGCCACTGGGCCAACGCCAAACAAGACGTCTGCTTTTAGGCTACTTCACCGCGTGGAGACGCGAGCTACGACACTCCCGTCATATCCGTCATCAACCACCCGTCCCTTCAAATGATCCCACGGGAGAAAGGGGTTTGAGTTTGAGGCAGTCTCTCTGTCCTGTCACTCGAAATTTAGTTCAATCCTTTTCGATGCTGGAACTTGAGCGAGTCCCTCTCGAGCGGCTTCACGTTCAATCGCGACAACCAGAGACAGGCGTTTGAAAATTATGAATGAAAGGAGATTGCTGAGTAGAAGCCGAAGTGCTCTTCTCACCGGCCTCATACAAACGGAGAAGAAACGACTTCCTGTCCATGGTTACTACATGAGTTTCTCTGCGTAATACACTCGGGGTAAAGCAGGAGTGGTATCGTTACTCTTCGTAGTCTTGGCGCTATTTCAGATGCCCCAGTAGACTGTGTAGTGCTGTGAAAGCGAGTCGGTCTTGGTTCGGGGGGCGAGGCGGATGAAGGTGTTGAGTTGCCTCGACTACTCTAAGCACACCTTGTCAAGACTGCTGTTACCTTGCATGTTTATGCCGGTTCACCGCCGCATGCAGTATGATTTCTGGAACATTTTTTTTTGCGATCTTGCTCCACCATTGTTTCTCGCCCCATGTTGCCAACTCCAAGATGCTTACAAAGCCAATTTTCGAGTGCTTCTGTTGTGTTGTTTGATGTGGGCAAGAGTGTGCTGCCGCAGGTGGAGGGCGTTGAAGGCGCACTGCATGTTGGGCTGGGAGACAAAGGCAACTTCCTGCTGCAGCGCCGATAATCAGCAGGAGGTCGTACATCACGATGATTTTCTTGTTCTTTTGGGCATTTGTACGGCATGTTCTATGGCTCGTAATTTTCATCGCGGGACCGCGGGGCATCCTGGAAGGACCCAGTGGCGTGGCCGGAGCTGCGGGAAGCGATGCTTACATTCGTCGCGGGCCTCGGCCCTGAGAAGAGCCTGCCAGCTGAAACACAGCTGCTGGCAAAGGACTAGTTACTAATTGACGAGCAACTCGTTTCTTTCACATTTCAGGGAACTGGGCATGTCGCTCGTGATGAAAGCAAGTCTTGTGCAAGATGCTAAACTATGGACTTTCAAGCGTGAAAGAGAATCGGCATGAAACGACTCAGGCTAAGCACCCTGGGAAACCTTGTCCTGGGACGTCCAAGCGGCGAGTTCGAATTATTGAAGCAAGAATGTCCATGCGGAGTGTTGTCAGCCTCACAATACCTTGCATACGCCTCGATTTTTCAGTACACGAGAAGATTTGAGGATGTGGCAGCTCTCATACAGGAGCTACTCGTGTTCACACCTCTGGAACATTTTGGTGATCCGGCAGATTGGCCAGTGATACAGATGTTTCGAATTATCGCAGACGTCGGAGTTGGACGCTTCATCCAATACGACCAATACTCCAAACGAAAAGGGCGCTTCACGGACCTTTCGCCGGAAGTTAAGGCCGCTTTGAATCCCTTCGGCTCTTCCGACGAAGCCAGACGTTTCGTGCCTTTTTTTCATCGAACCCTGACTTGATATCGGTGATTACAGAGAATTCAATGCATTCCGAGTTTGCGAAGACGACGTATTCCCTCCTGGCAGGCCTTGCGGTGGACAGACGGTCTCGGCCTGTTTACTATACGCAATATTATGGTGAAAAGTTTGACGATGTCTTCAAGCTGACAGTACAGTGGATGCACATCCTTGGGCTCACACCTCTCCTCGTTTCGGTGTGTTGTACGGATGAGATTTTTCGAAAGTGCCTGGCACAAGGACATCTCGTTTCTTGCTGGAGCCCAGGGTCCACAGCGCTTTTGCACAGGTACATCCCTGCAGTGATCATGGCACACCTGGGAATTTCGATGGTGTATTTCGACTTGGATCAGCTTTTTCTGAGGAATCCAGACACTGTGTTCAACGGAGCCCATGATCGAGGAGATGTTGATACAATGTGGACCCATCACCTGGACGGGAACTGCATTTGTGCAGGGATGTTCTACATGCGTGCAACTCCACAAACAGCTGAATGGCTGGAAAAATATACGAGCTGGCTTTACTTGCATCCTTATGAGATTGAACAGAGGGGCATTAATGCCATTTTGCTTCCGAATGGCACGGTTGAAGTGTCTTTCAAGCCGACCGACCTTCCCGAGCTACGCTTGGAGATTCTGGACGATGCGAACACCTTCGTGTCCACAGAACCTGGATGGATGGGAAGCTTCTCGCAGATTGTTTCCATGCATTTTCAGTACATGCCGCTCGATGACAAGATCATGAACATGGTCCCTGTGTTGGAAGAACTCTTGGCATATGCTTCTGCACATGGCACACCTCCTGATGACCCTGCGGCGTTGCCGACAACCAGCGCCACACTTTCCCAGTTCGTTCTGACCGAAAAGCCACTCAGAAGTCGATGCTGGTAGACCCGTCCACGATTATTCAGGACAGCTGCACCCAGTGCTGGTGGCATGTGCTGATCCCAGATGCTGAGCAAAAGCTTCACGGCTAGCGGCTAGCACACATTGGCACACTCATGTGCATCGATAGTTGAAGCTTGACGAAAGCCGGGAATCAAGGAGACAGCTGCAATGGTGCGATTCGGAGATCTTGAGCAGATGATTTCAGCCCGGCCGTTGCAGTTGCTTCTCCTCGCCACACGCCTCGTGTATCTCGGAAAGCTTTGCCCTACGTGCGAACCGTTTGGTCGACTCGGTCATCTGTAGCCTTTCTTCTACGGCTTTCTTGGTCGACTGGTTGCTCATTTGCCGTCCAGCTGCAAAGTCCCAAGCCTTTGCAGCGCGTATTGACAACCATGGCTCTCCCGAGTCTTTGCCAAGGATCAAGGTGGCTCAACTCGGACCGGTGATTGGAAGGCTCTCTCCGTGATGTTCAGTATGACATTCAGGTCTGGCAGAGCTGAGCCCGCGAAAAATGTCTCTTGTGCGCATTCCAACGACGACGACAGCAGATGGAAGAAGTGATGGGGATGTCGCTGGCTTCGGTGCTGGTAGAGAATTCTGAATACTGTTGGTGTGGTCATGAGCTGTGAGTGGCATGTCATGTTCATGAAGCCCACCACCAGCACGGCAACACGACCTGCTTATGCTGCCACTTCTGCTGTTGACTTCTGCTATATTGAGCCCGCACACTTTCATTTGAGATGGGAGTGAGATTTGGATGTGTGTCTGCGTGTGTGCACAGTTGCAGGTGTTACCGGTAGATACGTCTTGAGTTCAATCGGGTGAGGAAAGTCACAAGCTGGAGTCGAATGACTGTCTGTCGTTTCAATGTTGCACTGACCGTGTGTGGCTTCGTGGCTGAAAAACGTTGTTAGAGCTAATGCTCAGCGTTAGTTCATATTCTTGCTGTTTCTGATTGTTGCTGCTTTGCTGTATCTAGCACCTGCCGTCAAATCCTAGATGGGGTACTGCCAAGAGCGGCAAGACTTGCATCTTGACAATAAAGCAATGGACATCGGCTTCGGGCTCTGTGGCACCCTTTGCATGTGAAGCCACCATTAGACGGCAGCAGTCAACAACGAAGGTGCAGCGGCACACATTCCTGGGCTGGTGACGCATGACAGCTGGGAGAAACCTGCACGGCTTTTGCATGAATGTTAATGAGTCTTTCCGCCAATGACACACTGTATGCTGCCAGATAGAGTTTCTTTCCGTATAGGATTTCAAAAGGTGCTTGGATCTCCTTGTTGTCTTTCTTGACGGCAGCCACAGCTGGTTCAGACCCTTCTAGGGTGTTCGTGCTCCTTTCCAAAGGAAAGTGTAACGGAGGAATGGTTCTGCACTTGGCACCGTGGCCCCATGTCGATGGTCCGAAGCCTTTCGTTTCTGAGCCAAGTTACCGGCACAGTGAGTGTAGAGCACTCGTCTGGCAGCCTCTTCAAGTCATTTTTTGCAGCAGAGATGCCATGGGCTTCCTGACATTCACGCTTTTCTTGCTTTTAATCTTCGTGACGATCGGCACTCAGCCAAGTTTAGGTTCTGACCGAGCCACGGGCCATTGTTGAGGTGCAAGGATGGTTCGCAGGCACGGTGCTGTTGCGACTTGACGCCGGGTGAGCTTCATGGTCGGGCTGCCTGCTGCTAGGCTGCTTGCTGCTGCCGCTGGCGGCGCGGCTGATGCACGCAGCATTCCTGCATGCCACGAGCAAGAAAGCCGAGGAGCAAGTGGCAGGAAGGGGAGGAAGTTGTTGTCCTTCAAAAGAGGGGACCGGTCCTTGTCAGGAGAAAGGTGTGACACCGCGGAACCACGACCGGGCTGCAATGCCGCTTGACCGACTTGGGCGCAACTAGGGACGAGCAGCCTGATGCTGAAATCCGGCCATTGCGAGGGTGCATTTTGTATTGTTTCAATCTGCGTGCAGATTGAGGAACTTTGTCAAAGCCATCGCAATGGTGGACATCTTGCTCTTGGCAACATGGCTTAGCAGCTTGTGTGTTTCCTGATCTTCGAATCTGCGAGACACCCCCGAACCTTGACCCCAAGTCTGGGAGTTCCAATGATCTGTGAGAGGTGAATCGGGCTTTCAACTTGATGCTGAGCACATGCAAAACTCAGCTAGAGCAGAAATCCAAACGTGGCCCTTTGAGCATGTCTTCCTTTGTGAAGATTGTTTTGCACGCCATCCAGTTCGTTGCTCACCATGTGTGATGGTGGTGAGTATCGTGCTGTCTGTCTTGTGCTATTGCTTCAGGTATGGCCTCTGAGCATGAACGTCTTGGCCGGCATGCTCCACTCCAAAGACCTGTCCTGGGTCCTCTTGCACATGCACTGGAGGCCGGTGCTGAAGCTGCTAAGGTCAGGGTAGACTCCCGGCAAGGCCCGTCCGGCACGACTGCAAGTGCAAGATATAGCTTAGGCCCAGTTGAGGTTGTGGGACAAGGAATCGCTTGCAATTCCATCGGCTCTGAATGGAGCGATAATTACAGTGCCCTCTAGGCCCGGTGCTTGGTGGCCATCAGGTTGGTTGGGAGCAGCAAGACGGGTCTCTCCCCGTCGAGGAGCACCCACCTGCCTGCCACCTCGTGCCTCTCCGTGGGGTGACACTGCCTTCCCCTCCTTTTCTCCCTTCTCTCGTCTCTCTTCCTTCGCCTCCCCTTCCAACTTTGTCGCACCTCTCCTCTTCATCTCATGCTGATGTAGTCTGGGGCAGTTCTTGTGTGTGGTCCCTGTTTTGTTCCCCACATCTTTGTATGGGGTTTTTACTTTTTCTGCTTGGCGTCCGTCGAGTCCGTCTCGCCCGCCCCGCTTCTCCTCCTTCCGCCTTCCTTTCGCCTCCTCCCGGCTCCTCCCTCCACCCTCCTCCCGCCTGCGTTATTGGCCCGTCCTGGGGTGTTTCTGCTGTTTTCTCGGCATGGCCTTTGGCCGTTTCTCCTTTCTCTCGCTCCTTGGTCCTCTCTGTGCGCTATTGGACTGTCGTGCTCCTCTTTTGCTTTGTCCTCGGCGTGTCCTTACTCGTAACAATAGCGCATGAATGCGCGGCCCGA